GTTGGAGTTGAATATACAGATTTGGAAGGTAAAATATTTAATATCATGGGAACAGAAGAGATGAGTAAGTAGAATTTAGAAGGCATGAGTGTGTGAGGGCTGGAAGTGTGCAGCTCTCTTGTGGCCACGAGGGAAAGATCTAGGAATGGAGCCAAGACTCAGAAGATGGCATTGATGAGGCAAGTGACAGAGAGAAACTTCAGCTACTATAGCTGATTCTACTATACTTTTCAGCTATAATACTAGTAAATTCTTTTTGAACGTAAGTTTTTATGCTATTTCTATGGGAAGAGTCCTAACTAACATAATATCTCCCAATCCCTTATCTCTGTCTTCTATGTTTTCCCATCTCCTTTGCTGTCATGGAGGAGAATCAGCTGACCCAAAGATGCCAGAACTCACATGTTGTGCTGTGAAAACTTGCTAGTTGTTTAGTGATTTGGGAAAAGGATCTCTTAATTGAGTGGAATTTTCCTTGCAATTGGGAGATGTTATACTAGTCCCCCTTATCCTGAGGAGCAAAGGGGAAGGCACAGCTTACCTCATTCAGTGTCTGTTGTGGACATTTCAGGCAAGAGTGGAGGAATCAGTTAAGAATGGGTGAATATGGTTAAGGATTTTATGTTTGGATTATTAGCAATCCACCCAAACTGACTCTGGCCAACATAAGCCAAAAAGGAACTTTATTGGAAGGATCACCTTTTTGGAAGGTTTCCCCCACAAAATCAGAGCAAGCTGAACAAGTGAACAGCAAACCCAGGGAGGGGGAGGGACCAGAGCCGCTCTGGGGAGCCTCAGCAGGCTGGCATTACCCTCCTCTCTGGGCTGCCCATCCACTGATGGGATACAGCTGCAAGGTCTGCTCTCTGTGGTTCAAACTTGAAATGACTTGGAGAAAGATGCGTTTGGGGAGACAGTGTGAAGTAAGATGAAGATCCCCAGCCTGGTTCCCAGGAGTCTACCCAGCACATCTGAGTCGCTTGGCAATAGGTCAAGAGGCGATTGCCATGACCTCTCTGAGGATGGAGCCATTCTTGGGCTTCTCCAGGATGCTCGAAGCCTACAAGGGATTAAGAACAACCTCTGCAGGGACTTCCCTGGCAGTCCAGTGGCAAAGACTCTGTGCTCCCAATGCAGGGGACACAGGTTCAATCCCTGGTCAGGGAACTAGATATCACATGCTGCAACTAAGAGTGAGTGGCGCAACTGAAAAAGATCCTGTGTGCTGCAACTAAGACTTAGTGCAGCCGAATAAATAAATTATTGTTGTTGTTCAATTGCCAAATCATGCCTGACTCTTTGTGAGCCCATGGACTGCAGCACGCCAGGCTTCCTTCCCTGTCCTTCACTATCTCCCAGAGTTTGCTCAAATTCATGTCCATTGAGTCAGTGATAAATAAATACTTAAAAAAAGAAAAAGAACACCCCCTGGGGGCCTTCATTGCTTGTAAGTCCCAGTGAGGGTGCTTTGGCTCTCATATTGTCTCAGATTCTGCCCATCCTGGTCTGACATCTTTAATCTTTATTCTTTCCCCTTTAGACTATGATCTTCATCTTAGAGTAACTTTCCTTTTACTCTACTCTTTTCCCTCCTCCAAGCTTCCCAGCTACTATAGACGGAATTAGTGAGAAGAGAGCTCGCTGTGTGTGGGCTCTCACCAGACACCAAATCTGCTGACACCTTTATCTTGGAGTGCCCAGCCTTTAGAGCTGGGAGAAATATAGTTTTGTTGTTCATAAGCCATCCAGTCTGTGGAATTTTGTATAGTAGCCTGAATGGACTAATACAGCACCCTTTAAAAAAATGATTCTATTGCAAAAATAATCATTACTATTAAAAATAATTATTCACACAGTACCAAAATTTTTCAATGAAAAGTAAATTGTTTTTCCGCCCTGGACTTCCTGTCTCTTGCCAGAGGCAGTGATTACTCTCAGTCTCCTGAGCATCTTTTCAGATGGAGTGTGTGTTTATATCTCTATATAGACCCTACATATTTTATTTTTTTGTTTTTTTTAATTTTACTTTTTATAATATTACATATTTTATTTGTAAACACAACAAAGAAGATTGAAAACACACTCTTCAGTACTTTGCATTTTTCACTTAGTGATGTACTGTTCTCGTCAGAGGGCATTGGTTTCATTCTTTTACGTGGTTGCATAATATTCTGCTGTGAGGTTCCCCATGATGGACAGGCTCATGTGACTACACATGATGCTGCAGTGAACATCTTTCTACATGGTGCTTCAGGCACCTGAGCCAGTACATCTGTCAGAAACAGCAGTGCTTTCCACCAGACTTCCCCTGCATGGCCTAGTTTGGCCACTTCCTCTTTCTCTCCGCTCCTTAAGTGCCCGCAATATACCTACTGACAGACTCAAAGGCCCCAGTGCATCAACTCTGATTTTTCCACAGAATTTGACCCTGCTTCCTACCCTTCTCTGAAACTGTCCTCGCTTGGCTGATAGGAGAGATAACCTTTGTCCCGGCCTGTCTCTAATCCTGCTTTTCCTGCGTCCTTTCTTGTCCCCCGGGGTCACCTTTGGCAGGAGCCTGAGGGCAAGGGGCCTGCAGGGCCGGCCCTTTCAGCTCTTGATTGTCCCGCCCGGCTGTCACACCCATCAATCTCACCTCTGGAGGAATGTGAGATTTTCATCAATCGGAGTTCAAACTTTCCTCTAGGCTCAAGCCTTTCATAAAAAAAGAAAAAAGTGTGTTACTTTGCATTTATCATTGTTTTCATATCAAAAAGTGTAAAGAATAACCAAAAATAAAACAAGAGAATAACACAGGAAATGCCAATTTGTCCACCATTCAGCTTAATGAAATGTGACCAATTTAGATGAAGCCTCTATTGCCCCCTTTTTGCCCCCTAAGAGATATGCACTGTCTTTAATCTGAGATTTTTCCCGTCTTTGCATTTTACTTGAGTCCTGTATTTCTGATTGACTTCTTTGGGCATTTCCATACAAGTATCTCTCAGTATGGTTAAATGCAAACACATGTGATTCCATTTATGTAAAAGGAAGAATGTGCTACATGAATCAGTCAATCAGTCAATCATCTGGCCACCTACAGAAATCCTTCCAGAAAGATCTATATCACGAATTGCCTAAACAGAACACATTGGCAATAGCATGGGGACTCCACTCAGTACTCTGTAATAACCCCTATGGGAAAAGAGTATGAAAAAGAATAGATATGAGAATATGTATAACTGAATTACTTTGTATAATACAACATCATAAATCAACTATACTCCAATATAAAGAGAAAAAAACAAACAAGCAAAGAACGCATTGGTAGGCCTATTTGCAAATTCTGTTTTATACACCCCAATATTAATGGTGATTGTTTCTGTATGCTACGACTATGGATAATTTTGCTATATGCCCAACTGTTTTTTCAAAGTTTTCAACAGTGGAACATAGACATTGGAACATTTAATAGACATTGAATAGATGTTCAACAGTGGAACATAGACATAACATAGACTTATGTTATAATATTATATTAATTTATTGTTGTTGTTCAGTCACTAAGTCATGTCCGACTCTTTTTGATCCCATGGACTGCAGCACACCAGGCTTCCCTGTCCTTCAGTATCTCCCAGAGTTTGCTCAAATTTATCTCCATTGAGTTGGTGATGCCATCCAACCATCTCATCTTTTGCTGCCCCCTTCTCCTGCCTTCAGTCTTTTCCAGCATCAGGGTCTTTTCCCATGAGTCGGCTTTTTACATCAGATGGCCAAAGTACTGGAGCTTCGGCTTCAGCATCAGTCCTTCCAATGAATATTCAGTGTTGATTTCTTTCAGGATTGACTGGTTTGATTTCCTTGCTGTCCAAGGAACTCTCGAGAGTCTTCTCCAGCACCACAATTCGAAAGCCTTATATTAATAGTCATATATTATTATTATGTCTCAAATATATCTTCCCCAGCCCTCTTTTACCTATCTCTTTTTTTTTTAAAACCTCTTTTACCCTAGAAGTAAAAATAGAAGTTGCCTCTTTTATCCTATAAGTCTCTATTTGTCAGAATTCTTGGGTTCTTCCTAGGTTTAAAACCTGATAGTCGTGCTTCATACTCCTTTCTTCTCACATTCTTCTATCTTAAAAAAAAAAAAAGTTGTCCATTTGGCTTCACTGGTTTTAGTTTAGGCATGCAGAATCTTTAGTTGCAGCAAGTGAATGCTCAGTTGCTGCAGGTGGGACCTAGTTCCTTGACCAGAGGTTGAACCGGGCCCCATGCATTGGGCACATGGAGTCTTAGTCACAGGATTACCAGGGAAGTCTCCCCCTCTCACATTCTATCTTCCCACTATACTTTGTGGTTATTTGAGTGCATTTCTATCTCCTCTAAGAAATGGCAACCCACTCCAGTATTCTTGCCTGAAAAATTAGAGGAGCCTGGTGGGCTCCAGTCCAAAGGGTCACAAAGAATTTGACACGACTGATTGACTCCGCACGCATGCACAGTCTCCTCTGTTAGATTTCAAGTTCTTCAGTGGCTCAGACCTTGTCTTCTCTCTCTCCCGGGGCCCATCACACAGCACAGCTCACAGAACAGATGCTCCAGAAATGGTCACTGAGCCTCCTGCTTGACGCCTGGGGCTTGTTGACGATCCTGCAATTGTCACCTGCTTGAGAAATTTCCTCTATAAATAAGCAGTTTCTGTTTCAAGTATGGTTTGCTCTTGCTGCATATACCCCCTCTCCTACCCAACGTAAGCCTCAAACTTAGAAACTGGAATTAGTGTTGGTATTCAAATCCTTAGCCACAGTACCAAGAGTCAGCCCCCTTAAGAACCAAGTCATCAATGTGACGTTCTGGTTTTTTTTCCTTGACATTCTGGCTGCCGTCACTACATTTGCTGGGGAATTCTCAACAAGAGTTTAGGTGTCCTTCCATGCCGTCCTTTCTGTGGTTTCCTTGTTTCATTTTGTGATCCAGTTCCAGATGGCTCAGCGGTGCTCCCCAAATGAATATTTTGACAGATTGCTGAATACTTGCAAATCGTGTCAACTTCGATGCCCTAATACCCCTCCTGTAATATGTCAGCATTACTGTAACACAAGTAAGTAATCCTGTTTGAACGATTACTCATTGGTGTGAAGTATTTGCTCTGTGTGTGTGTGTGTGTGTGTGTGTGTGTGCGCGTGTGTGCGCGTGCGTGCGCTTAGTTGCTCAGCTGTGTCCAACCCTTTGTGACCCCATGGACTGTAGCCCAGCAGGCTCCTCTGTCCATGGGGATTCTCCAGGCAAGAATACTGGAGTGGGTTGCCATGCCCTCCTCCAGGGGAATCTCCCCAACCCAGGTCTCCCACGTTGCAGGCAGATTGTTTGCTGTCTGAGCCACCAGGGGAGCCCAGGAATACTGGAGTTGACTGTTTATTCAAAGAAACATTAGGGGGAAGGTGGTGAGCTTTTCTGAATCAAAAAGAGAAAGAAAATAAGGCAATCATTTAATGCCAATAGGAATGGATACTTTTTCAGAACTCAACTCTATTGTATTCTGCGATCTTAGCAACATAAATTTTTATCATCTCTCCTAATTAAGTATTAACTTAGAATTTAAAAGTCAAAGCTGAGGAATTAGGGGAGCAGGATGGCAAATAATCTTGACCTGATGTGAACATTATGTTATCGAGTTCATTCTCTCTCTGATGTTCTTTTGATTCAGTGAAAGGAACAAATACATTTCTCTGGACCTGTTTGGGCCTGAGCTTGATAGTTTCCTTGACAGTTTTCGTATTGATGTTCTTGCTAAGGAAGATGAGCTCCGAACCATTAAAGGACAAACTTAAAAACACAGGTTGGTTTGTTGGTTGATCTTTGAAATCTCTTTCCAAGAGGTGGCTATTGTGAATTTCAATTCCTTTTCTTCTTTCATGTTGTGTATCTCATCCGGTAAGTGCCCTTTTGAGTATGTTAGATGACAGTTGGGTTAAATAAACTCCTGGGAGAAGTCAGTTTCCTTTCCAATGTTTACACCTTCTTTGTTGATATCATACTATGTCAGCCTTCCTCAACATTCTTCCTTTGGTATTTACTCTTTTGAAGTACTGAGGCCTCCTTGGGAAACATCCATCTCTTTGACCAAAGTCAGCACATTGATTAAACATCACACTATCAGAAATAGCTAGCCGGGTCTGGTACTACCTGAAATAAGTGTATTTGACAAGATTGGTGGCTGTATTTTCATACAAATACAAGTGTTGTTGGCTCAGATGAACATTCTACTGCAGAAAAAAGCTAGAAATGAATACCTGGATTATTTAAGCAATCATCACAAAGATCTTTATCTTGATTAAGCAGTAGAGAATCAGTCCCAGAGAAGTGAATATTCTGCTGAAGAGTTTCTTAAGAGAAAAATATTTCAGCACCTTTGTCCATGATGTAATTTCTAAATGCTTTGCAGTCATTGTCCTATTTCTTTACGCATGTGTTTTCCGTGCATAATCTATAAGGCAACATTTTGTCTGCTTTCTAGTGCAGAAAGGGGAGGAAGACGGCTGTTCCACATCATTTACTCATTTCTCTTCTTTTGCCTGGGGCCTGAGAGACAGGTGGGGTGTGACTTTAACTCTGACATTTTGGAAGATGGAGGTATACTGTGGAGTGTTGGGAAAGTATTAAAATGTGCCTGCACAGGTGTGTAATGAGGACACAACAGACTTCTTCCTTATGGGATCATGAAAGATTCATGAAAAAAAAAAAGTAATCTGCCCAATGCTCTGTAAGAGAAACATCTTTACTTTGAATTGTAAAGTGTCACCCCAGACTCACTTTGGTATGCTGTAACACATGCTGATCTGTCATTTCACAATTATAAAAAGGGTCGGTATTTAATGCATCCAAGGGCCAAGTGGGTCAGAAACGAATGTAGTGGGTCACTGGAGGTTCCGTGATAGGGGAGCCTGTGCCCAGCTTGAAGGAGACAAAAGCTATTGACTGACTCCCAAGTGTTTTCCTGTAGGAATATCAGTTCCCACTGGCCATATTTTGTTGTCTTTAAAAAAAATAAAGTAAAAGAGGGACTTCCAGTGTGGTCCACTGGTTAAGACTCTGCACTTCCACTGCAGGGGGTATGACTTTGATCCCTGGTGGGGGAAATTCTGCGACCCTTTGGACTTTGTGACTCTATGGACAGTAGCCCACCAGGCTCCTCTGTCCATGGGATTCTCCAGGCAAGAATACTGGAGTGGGTTGCCATTTCCTTCTCCAGTGGATCTTCCTGACCCAGGGATTGAAACCGAGTCGCTGTGTCTCCAGCAGTGCAGGCAGATTCTTTACCACTAAACCACCTGGGAAGCACCCCTGTGCCATGAAGTGTGGTCACAAAAAAGAGAGAGAGACCAGTTGTCTAGATTTGTATGTAAAATCTCTTGAATTTCAAACATGGACCAACATAAAACAGATAAGCAAACACTTAAAAAATACTGTGTGCCCTAAAGTGAGCATGTCTTTGAACCCAACATGGCCCATGGTCTTTCAGCTCATGACTTGGGGTGTAAGGCCCGCTTCTTCTGGGGAAAGACTTTTGTCTCCTGTTGCTTTGATCCCTGATGCATGCTGCTAAGCGTGGCACAACCAAGCACCCTGAAAGATTTAGGATAATGGTTCTGTTTTTGTGCATTCAGGAGCGGTTCTCCAGAAGAATGCTAACGCAGACCTGGATGTTAGCAATAACAGCAGTATCGTGGCTGAACCTCTTCTTTCAAGAGGCCTGGGGTACACAGTAGAAGAATGTATGTGTGAAGACTGTGTCAGGAGCAAACTGAAGGTCGATTCTGACCACTTCTTCCCCCTCCCAGCGATGGAGGAAGGCGCAACCATTCTTGTCACCACGAAAACAAACGACTACTGTGACAGTCTGCTAGCCACCACCAGTGTCACGGGGATGGAGAAATCAATTTCTACCAGATAATTAACCATGTCAATGGTATAAAGCTACTTGGAAAGTCTTTGTGCTAAGGGAAGGATGGTGTGTCAGATCTCTTTAAGATGATTGTACTTGTCTGAGGATGATATGGCTTTCCATCCTCTAATTCTGGAAAATGTTTATGTTAGCAATGTTTTTCTACCTTATTGTTGGGAGCTTAACTCTGGAAATATCCTTGGTTTTATGATTAAACTGACTCACTGAAAAAAATAAAAAAAGCACCGCAATGTGTAGATCCCATAGTCACATATTTCTATGGTTAGGCGGCTTCTCTCCTATACATGCACACGTACATTTCAGGACAGACTGGATTTCTCTTTATTGTTAAAGGAGAGCAAGGTGATCCGATGTACTCTCTGTATATAGGAGAAGCCTGGAGTCAGCCACCCTGATTCAGTGTGCGGGGAGTGACTGGTGCCTGACCTTGGGAGCTTTCAGCTTCATGGAGTCATACAGGCATTATTATAATCGTGTAAATGAACGTGTAGCTGCAAACTCTGATAAAGGTGTGCTCGGTATCATTTTTGCAGTTAATGCAGGAAGTAATAATGACAGAAAGCATTTATGTAGCCTTTCTAATGTGCCAGGAGTTGTTCCAAGTGCTTTACCTGTACTAAGGCATTTAATGTACACAACAAATCACAAGGTAGGTGGACCATAACGATCTCCCTGTTACACACGATGACAGAAAGGGAGTCAGAGCAAGGGTCACATAGACAGTAAATGCAGAGCCAAAGTGAAATCCAGACATTCTGATCTATCCCTTTTTCTTCTTCTCATATTAATTTAATTCCATTTCCGAGTTTCTCATCTCATTGGGTTACCCATTATTGGGAGAGGGTTGCCTTCCTTGGGTTGTGCAAAGGTCCTGGGGTGTTATGGAAACAGGCAATGCCCCCTGGTGTCTGTTGACTTTGATCGTTGTTAAGATAATGCCCTATTAGCACCACATCAGAGAACCTCAAGGTCTTGGGGCTTTGTGGCTTTTGTGTTGGGTTTGGGATATGGAGAAACTTGGTGAGACATTTCTACCTACTTGGGGCCCATCATGGCTTCATTCCATGGAATGGTCTTGAGGGCCATAGATGATATAATATAGCAATGAAGACACTGGCTCTTGGAATTTGAATCCTGACTCTGTTACTAGGAAGTTATAGACACTGAGTGACTGAGAAAGTTAACCATTTCCTGTTTCACTTTCCCCATCTGTAAAACGGGGATAATAACAGTATCTACTTATAACATTGTTTTGAAGATTAAATGAAAATATACACACATGTACATTTATTATTTATTTTTTCCCATGATACGTTTCCGGTTCATGATAAGTATTTTGTGTTAGTTCCACTGCCATCATGGTTTTTATTAGTGCTTTGAGGTCTAGTTTCTCCGAGTGCAGGTGGACACTCCTTGTCTGTTATGTGGCCTGGGAATATTCCTCCTAGCTTCTCACAGCCCTTCTTCCTTCTTTCCTTACTGCTCCATTCCCCTCAATGAGTTTAGATTTTTCCAAAAGTCCAGAAGTGCTGTTGACCTTAGGCTTTTGATTCTTGGTTCTCCAGTACTGGGCTAAGTCTCAGGAGGAAGGAATTACCATACTTAAAGGGAGTAGCTGGTGGTGGAGGATGTGAAGTACACACTACAAGTTCAATAACATATCCCATTTCAAGTGCCAAGAAGACAAGGTACAGGGCACTGTAAGAAAGTGTATCACTTCCTGATAACTCCATAAATCAGGTATGTGATGTCTCAGCAAAGTTACAGAGGCAGACAGACCTAACAACCTAGACTTTCTGGGGGGGAAGAGAAGGGATTCAGACACATTGATGCTTTAACTAGAATAACAAATTAGCAACAACTATAAAGTACAATTTTGAACATGGTAAAAAAAAAAAACCACCTTAACAAGAAAAGAATTTTCAAGAATTCCCCAACACAAGAATTTTCATTTCTACATTCTATCACAGTCCCTACACAACTGTATTTTGACACAACTGTAATCATAGTGTACAGACCATTTTGCATGCGGCTTTTTAAAATTACTGTATTATCTTTGGCCTTTCCTTGTGTTTCCATTACCTTTATAATTAGCATTTTTAAATACTGTGAAGTGGGGCATGATTTGCTTAGCTATTCTCTAACTTGGCTTTGGTGCTTTCCACTTTCTATTATAAACAGTGCTGCAGAGAGTACATCCTTCTAAAGATCTCTTAACCTCTGCTGAGTCCACAAGGTAAATTCCCAGGGGCCAGAGATGACGTGTAGAGAAGCAAGGTAATAGCAGAAGACCACGGGGCTGTAGGTCACACACAGCTGGGCTGGCATTCTGGCTCCATGTCCCGATGGGGCCTCAGTTCAGTGTTTTGTGGATCAAGTCTTGGGAGTGGATCAGTCATTCTCAGGCAACACTGGGAAAAAAAAAAATCAAAGAGAATACATTACTTGCAGAATTTTGTTAAGTAGCTTCTTAAATGTATGCATTTGTGTGCTGGGTTGTGGGTGTGTTGTTTTACTCTGGGTGGAGGGCTACAGTCCACTGGATCACAAAGAGTCCCACAAGGCTAAGCGATTAACACTTTCACTTTTTTTTCTTGGGCCAAACAAGTTGGGAAAATGCTTCTTTACCCTTTCTGAGCCCTCTTTCTCTTATCTGTAAAACGGGGCAGTAACAACTTTTCAAACATCCACTCCAGTATTCTTCCCTGGATAATCCCCATGGACAGAGGAGCCTGGCGTTCAAGTCCATGGGCTCCCAAAGAGTCAGACAAGACTGAGTGGCCTTCACTTTCACCTCCTTACAGTGAGGCATAAAAGCCCAACCCCTTCACCCACATCTTCCATCTCCTCTTTCAAAGCCCTTTTCTTGCTCACCCTCTGGCTCCAGGCAACCCCTCCAGGCAGGAGGTTCCTTCCGGAACACCCTTCCTGCCGATCTTCCCGGGCCGCCTTCCTCTTAGCTTCCAGGACTCTAAAGTCATCTGCATAGAGAGCCCCTCCGGGACTTCCCGCCTGCCTTGTCCCCACGCTTTGGCCCATTCCTCTAAATTTCCCCGTTCCGCTCCTAGGGCTCTCTGGGACCGTGTTGTTTTATGTCTCGTGGCCACCTTCCCACCTGGCTCCCCCACAGAGGTGTGAACTCAGGCTGGCGGGGAGGAGTCCCAGCCGGTCTCCACCGCACCCGGGGACTAGCGAACCACGAGGCGCCCCAGCCGGTGTGTCTACTACTACCCGGTGCGCCTGGCAGGCACCGGCCCGGGGAGCAGCACCATGAGCGGTGAGTGGCGGCCTGGCCGCTGTCACCCGCCCCGGCCGCTCCGGCTCCCGCCGCTCCAGCTACACACTCCAGCCCCCGAGTCCCTGCGTCCCGCTTGCTCCCGGACCCCGTCCCGTCGCTCCCAGTTTCCGGACCCCTGTACGCCCAGGTCCTGGCCCCTGGTCACCTGCACTTTTCTGGAGTGCCGGGTCCAGGCACTCCTAGTCCCTTGACTCCTGTCCGTCACTTACACAGCCTGCTGCTGGACACCTGTGCCCCGGATCCCTCAGTCCCTCCCCATCCTCCGACCCCCTTGTGCAGTTACCAGACCCCCAGTTCTCAGACATCCTGTGTCTCAGTCCCTGCTAACTCCTCGACCCTCTGAGTCTCAGTTGCACTCCTGGGTCCCCCTGCTCCCCAGCCACTCCCGAGGCCTCTGCGCCCAGCCACTCCAGTCTCCGCAGGGGCAAAGAGCGTTGCTGACCATTCTCTTGCTGGTCATTCTTAGTTTGCTGACCCCTGTGCCCCGCGTTCCCCCAGCTCTCGGCTCCCAGAGGACTGAGTTCTTCAGTCTCTTTGTCTTCCCCAATCCTGCGGTTCCCTCCTCCCCTCTCCCCCCAGTTCTTTGCTGTTCCAGTCCCCAGTTGTTCCCAATTTCTCATTTTCCCTCTCTGAGCCTTGCTTCTTGCATTTTGGTTATTTTTTCATTCTTCAGCTCCTTCCATTTCTTATCCTGCTCATTTGAGGTCTCACTAGACCTGCCCTGCAGCCTGCTGTCCAGTGTTAAGCCCATCTGGGGGTCTCCGCCCTTCCCATCCGTTCCTCTCCCTTCCACTGGAGTGCTGGCTGGTTTTGGTGGGAGGCTGGGAGGGGTGTGTGTACAGCCTGTCCTCAGCGTTTCTGAAGTTTAGTCCCTAGGCTTGGATGGGTGTTCTCAGCCCTTTCCACTCACGAGATCTGTTGTGTTTTGGTGCTAAGTCATCCCTGGGTGTAGTATGTGGAGACGGGAGTGACTCAGGGAAGCCTCCCAGCTCCCCTAACTGGGATCTGGATTTACTTAGGAGGACCCGCCTACCCTCCTTCTGCCTGTTTTCCCCTCACTGTGGAATTGCCTCTACAGAATCCTTGCAACCAGTGCTGCTGGCCCTGACCTTAGACCCAGACTTTTCTGGAGGTTGGGGCAGGGCAAAGTGAAGGCCCTGTGTCTCTCTTCATCTTTAACTTTTAAGTTAACTCTGTGGATCATTTCCAACAACTTAGGTGCCTTTTGTTTTGCTATTCATGAGTAAAGTTTGTGAAATTGATGATGCTGTTGCTGGAACTGGGGAGGGACGTTTTCCTGGGAGGTAGTCCAGCTTCTGTTGTCAGATGATTTTTGGTCTACTTAAGGGTTTCTGGTCCTTGAACATTAGTGACACCACAACAGAGATGTGATGAGTTCATCCAGGAGGTAATGTAGCCTGGGATAAGTGCAGACCCTGGGGGCAGACAGCTTGAGTTCAAATCCCAGCTTTGTCACAGAAAGCCATGTGATTTAGAGCAAGGTGCTCAAACATTCTGAAGTCTCAGCAAAATGAGGATAAATAATAGCACCTGACTCTTAGGCTCATGGCAGTGACTAAATAACATTACTCAGGTAAAGTGATTGGTACTGTGCTTCTCACATGGTAAGGAGCTTGGAGCTGCTATTATTGTTTCTGTAAGGACCCTGTGGGGTTCAGTTCGGGTTGTTTTCTGGCTTCCCTTCTGGGATAAGGGCTGGGGCTAAGTAGCCCTGGAAATCTCTTCCTTTTTATGTGAGCATGGTGTCTCCGCTTTAGAATCTCAATCCTGTACCCTTCTCTCTGCTGCCTACATTGTGAGAGCCAGTGAAATTGACAAGCAAAGGGAAACTGACCAATGTAGCCTTCAAGGAGCAACTTAGTATCAAAACTAAAGAAATTTTAAAATTCAGTTGAAAAACCCCATTAGGTTTAAGGTTAAACAAATTATAGAAGAAAACTCACACATGATTTTTTCAGGAAAAAGCATTAAGGCTGAAAGTTTTCTTTTCTTTTTTTTTTTTTTTTTAAATTTTATTAGTTGGAGGCTAATTACTTTACATCATTACAGTAGTTTTTGTTATACATTGATATGAATTAGCCATGGATTTACATGTATTCCCCATCCCAGTCCCCCCTCCCACCTCCCTCTCCACCCGATCCCTCTGGGTCTTCCCAGTGCACCAGGCCCGAGCACTTGTCTCATG